CATGTATCATTAAATAATAAAACAACAATTGCATTCTGTTACAATTAATATTCAAGGTATTGTTTTCATCTACATTCAATTTGATATCAACAAAGTTAATTGAATATTTTCTTCAAGAATTAAATTGTTATGATAGAACAATGGCTGTTCCAAATGTCTAAAATATAAGAGCTACTGACAATTGAAATAATGATACTACAACTTCTACTGAAATTTACAGTCAATTCTAGATTGTTATATCGGTCTAGTGCAGCATTTATTCAAGATGGCCAGAAGTATGTGAACAAGACTGAGAATTGTGAAAACAAGTCAGCATAATTATTATATCATTGCAATTTGATTAGTCTATACTATATTCTGAAAATGGTAGTCATTTTTAGCTCACCTCGACAAAGTCAAGATGAGCTTATGCTATACCCCTGGCGTCTGCGTTAGCATCGGCGTCCCAGGTTAAAGTTTTAGGAGCAAGTCCATTCCCAAGTAACTATAATCCCTATCTGAACCAAACTTGCATGGATGATGCATCTAGGGATGTACACTACTAAACTTGCTTCGGATGCTGGATCTGACCTACATTTTCTAGATGAGTGACCAGGTTAAAGTTTTTGGAGCAGGTTAAAGTTTTTGGAGCAGGTCCAATCCCAAGGAATTATAAGCCCTAACCGGACCAAACTTGCATGGATGATGCATCTAGAAGTTTTTGGAGCAGGTCCATTCCACAGGAACTAGCAGCCCTATTTGGACCAAACTTGCATGGATGATGCATCTAGGGATGTACACTACCAGACTTGCTTCGGATGCTGGATCTGACCTACATTTTCATTCCCAAGTAACTATAAGCCCTACCTGAACCAAACTTGAATGGATGATGTATCTAGGGATGTACACTACCAGACTAGCTTCAGATGCTTGATCTGACCTACATTTTCATTCCCAAGTAACTATGAGCTCTATTTGGACCAAACTTGCATGGATGATGCATCTAGGAATGGACACTACCAGACTTGCTTCGGATGCTGGATCTGACTTACATTTTCATTCCCAAGTAACTTTAAGCCCTACTTAACCAAACTTGCATGGATGATGCATCTAGGGATGGACACTACCAGACTTGCTTCGGATGCTGGATCTGACCTACATTTTCATTTCCAAGTAACTATAAGCCCTACCTGAACCAAACTTGCATGGATGATGCATCTAGGGATGGACACTACCAGACTTGCTTCTGATGCTGGATGTGACCTACATTTTCATTCCTAAGTAACTATGAGCCCTATTTGGACCAAACTTGCATGGATGATGCATCTAGGGATGGACACTACCAGCCTTGCTTCTGATGCTGGATCTGACCTACATTTTCATTCCCAAGTAACTATAAGCCCTAGTTAAATCAAACTTGCATGGATGATGCATCTAGGGATGGACACTACCAGACTTGCTTCGGATGCTGGATCTGACCTACATTTTCATTCTTAAGTAACTGTAAGCCCTAGCTAAACCAAACTTGCATGGATGATGCATCCTAGGATGTACCCTATCAGACTTGCTTGGGATGCTGGATCTGACCTATATTTTCCATACAAGAGACCACGTTAAAGTTTTTGGAACAGATCAATCCGAATGAACTTGAAGTCTTTGATATCTGCAGTATCAACAGTTATGAATATTTGTTTACACAATACATGTTTTTCACACTACACGCATAGAAATGTGTATATGCCATGTAGAGGGTTAAGCACAACTTGCAAGAATATTGTTGTTGGGATGAATACTTAATATTAAGAAAATATGATTAGTAGGAATTGCATTTCTTAAACTGATCACATTCGTTGAGGTGAGCTTCGTAATCTTTGATTACCTATGTTTAATACATAGTGTAGTACTAAATGCCTACAGCTAATTTTCTGTTGTGGAAAAAACATTTTACTGAAAAAATCACTTTTTTCATGATTTTTTTTAATATAATTTTGCAGTTTGAGTTAAATATATCTTTATTCATGGGAATATTATTTTGTTTTTAAGAAGTTATAAAGTGTTATTCTTAACTAAATTAAAATGTAACGTTTTGTGGAATCTGCAGAATTTTTAGCTAGGGTTCAATTTTGGTATTATTAGCAAGACCTTTAATTGAGATATTGTAGAATGTAGACATACATGTACTTTTTTCCGCGGCATCATAATTCTGTGGAATCTCAATATCTGTTTAATCCGAAGGTAGAAAATTACGTGGATTTCTTAGACTGTCACTATATACCTTGCAGCTATTTTAAGTACATTTGAACAAATTTCTGTAGAAAATTTGTGACCGCATACACAGTGTTAATTAATACCATGCAGAAAAAATTACTTTTACAATAACCAAAATTGAATATTGCTTATAATTCATTCTGAATCAATGGTTATTGCTGCTATGGATTTTGACATTATGGACATGATGAAATTAACAAAATTATTTCTTCCTGAAAATGTTATTACCGTAAATCTGGAAATTTTTACTGTAGATAAATTTTTAGCAAATTTGCACGTGCATTGCATTCGCAAAAATATTTTTCTTAAAAATAAATCAACATGTGAAGAATGTTTTCTGAAGACTCGTGTCTTTTTTTAACTCAGTGCATAGGCGTCGGTAAGCACTGGTCAATTTAAAAGAAACCTGTTTACACTAGTCTACTATATAACTACAAGTTAATTACCCGTGCGTGTAAATTGCCCTCATTATATGCAATATCGTCCGATGATTTGACAAGCACTGAGGCGGTATGCCCCTTTTTATAATTATTTTCATCAATTAATTTGCCAATAAAGAGAGAACTGTCATTTTATCTAACCGTGTATCAACATGGGCGATAACTCAAACTCAGTGCATTTACTTGAAAGTTCCAAATGTAATGGGGCATGTAAATTTTAGGTGAGGAAAAAAGAAACGTTCAGAAAATAAAGTATATTTTTTCTTCATTTGGATTTTAGTTTAGGTCAAAAGGCATACACAACCTCTAAAATGTTTGTTATAATTGATTTAGAAATTATTTTCAGTGCAATTACTTTTGTATTTTCATCAAAATTGTTTCGGAGCGATTTTGCAATATCTTGCCACGTTGCGAATTTATTGGTGGTATTCTAACCACAGGGGCTTGTGTGGAAAAAATAAATAAGTTAAAAAAATTAGTACCTAGAAGGAAAAAACGTGCTTTTTCTCCTAGGTACTAATTTTTTTAACTGATTTATTTTCTCTATACAAGCCCCTGTGTTCTAACTGGGCATATTATTTGAAACATAACCTGATATGAAAAGCTTCAGTGATTTTAATTTTTAGCACCAGTGGCAATTCGCAAAAATTTGAAGCGTAAAAATTAATCAACAGCTTTTTGACCCAAAATCGCAAAAATAAATCGACGTAAAAATTTCCAGATTTACGGTATATAATTAGGGCTATTCCAGAAAAAACATGTATGGGGGGGTTAGAAGGCACTTTTATTTTTAACCCACCACCCATACATTTTTAATTGCTTTCTCCCCACCGCCAATCAAATCAAAAATGCTTTTAATACAACCACCCATCTAAATTTAAATACTTTTTTAAAGAATTGTGTTTAAAGTTATGTTTAATAAAATTTTATGTACTGGTACTTTTTTCAAGGATTTGCACTTTATGAAACTTGAAATGAATGTTCGCTTTTTGGATGTATCCAAACAATTGACTCATTTTAAAAATATCATGCACAAAACTTTCATTTTTTCATTACGTTGAAAATAGTTTAAATATTGTTAGAAAATAATTTAGAAAGATATTTTACACAAAAGTTTTGTAAGATTTTACAATCAGCTAATTTTTTTAGTTCAAGTCCAAAGTTCTTTTGAAACACAGGCCACATAGTTCCTGCTGTAGCCTATAGGTTTCTTGTTTTTTTTTTTTTTTTTTTTGGGTGGGGGGGGGGGGGGGGTTGGGGGACTAAAGTTATGTAGGGCATTGTCTATTTAGTGTAACGTGAAAAAAAATATGAAGTCTTAATGTCACCTAACAACCCTGCAGGCACTTGTTTCTGAAATATATTTTTTAAACTCATTTGTATGTTATGGCCGGGTTAAAAATATATTCGAGGTAACACTCAACAGGTTAAGGATTGGCACATGTATGTACTAACATAATACATGTATATTGTTACATACCCTGTTATATATAAACAATATTTTACACCGTATTTTGGGATAAAATAAAATATTTGACTTGCAAACTCCATAGTCATGCTCTAAAATGTTTATTATCAGATACGTTTTTTCTACTTTCGGTTTTAATCAAACGATCTCTCTGATTGTTTCTAATATCATTTAATTTACCAATGTAATCATGTTTGAATATATTGCTGGTATGAAACTTGAGCTGAAAGCAACAAAGAACACAAGAACACAAAGAAATTGTGTCCCAATCCTCCACTGTCATCATTTGTACCATGTGCTTTTATAATCATCTTCCATGTTTCCGGTTTGTTCGATTCTACTTTCACTTTCAGTGTAAACACACTTCTCAACTGTTTAGGACGTTTTTTTTTTAAATAAATATCAATATTTACTGGCTTATACAAAATGAAACGAAGGAAGTTCTTTGCAGTTGATTATTTGTGAGGGTAAGTGCAACCACCCATCTAAAAATATATTTGATGAGGACAACCACCCATGCAAATTTAATTGCTCCAGTCCCCATTACCCATACAAAAATATATGAAGTGCCGTCCAACCCTCCCATACATTTTTTTCTGGAATAGCCCTTATCAATAATGGGGATAAATTGCAAAATTCAAGTCACACTTAAAATTTCACTTAGAACAAAAGTGTCTATATATACCCTTAAAATAAGGAAAATCACTCCTCCTTCCCTCTGCTCTTGACATAAGTGATTCATAGCTAAAACCAATAAAGCCTGTACCTTCTGTTGTGAGTTCATCCAGTGACTCCTCCTCTTCCTCTGTGCCTCCCCAGAACCAGCTGAACCCCCTCCCCCAGCCTCACCCACCTCCTGCCTTACCCTTCACCTTACCCCTACACATACCTTCTGTTGTGAGTTCATCCAGTGACTCCTCTTCTTCCTCTGTCCCTCCCCAGAACCAGCTGAACCACCCTCCCCCAGCCTTCTTCTTCTCCACCTGTCTCTTCTTCAGTTCTTCCTGCCTCCTTCTTTCTCTCTCTCCTGTTTCTTCTTTATACTGAATTTTAGAAAAGAAAACAATAAGTATTAGATCTGTTTGTGTAATGACACTATTTCCCTTAAGGCAATAAGCCCTGGATCGAACCAAGTATGACAATGACCATGCATACTGATGTTTCAAAGTGTCAAACATTTATATATTTATATAATTAAAGTTATAATAAATAGTCAAGAATATCAAGATGCAGGGGTCCCGTGTTCGATTCCCGGTCCAGCCATACATTTTCTCCCTTCCTGTTACAATATTAAGCCCAATGTTTTTTGTGGTTTTAATCCCACAACATTTTAACAACGCTTTTCTGTTAATCCACAAACAATTTCCTTGACCTCCTTCATGACCTTTGAACTTGATATTGTCATTATCTTACTACATTAGCTTTTGATTCATGTGAAAATAACACTGACATCAGTTTATTCACAAAACATCAGTATCTTATTGACTTTCCTTTGAGTGCTTTCCCCTTATGTTTCTGTGGTTATTTTACCTTGAGTCTAGCCTCAGTCCTAGCCCTCAGTATGTTGGTGACGTCCATTGTTTTCTCCAATTGTTCAACCTTCTGTTTAATTCCCTGGTCCTTGGGAGACTCCAGGTGTTGTTTGTACACCTGCCAGTATTTTACATAGTCTTGCCTACAAGTATTCAAACAGAAAAAGCATATTTCATATTTCATCAATGACACATTTCGCAAATAGTAAGAAACTACATTTTCCCTTCTAATAATTTTTCTTGATCTCATATAAATGTAAGTAAGTAAGTGAAGACAACTTGAACACAGATAAGATCTAGACTCACTTGTACTGGACTATCTGGGGCCATGTGTAAGGTTTGATGTTAAACTCCACAACTGAGTCGTAGGCATATCTCCACCAGGACTTGGGACTCTTCTTCACAGATACCGTGGGGCGGAATTTCCTGTACCGCCGATTCACTTCCAACCTTTTGGAAAATTCCAGCCATCTTGTAACACTCAAATACTGCAAGGTCAGAGTATAGATTCACAATAAATGCTGCAAATCTGGATCAATTTCTAATTTTTTGCCAAAAAAATAAATAATTACGATTTATCTTAAACGTGTGATTCAGACCAATCCATTGACATTCAATTATTTCAATCTGCTGCAAACAGAGCAGTTTAAGTAGGTTGTTCAAAAGATAGCTAAATTTAACACATTAGTTAACAATATTCAATCCTCGGCTGACTCCGCTTTGCTTGTTTGCGTGCAAGGTTCAAGCCATCTAAATAAGGAACTTCGTTAACTATGTAAAGATTTGAATAACCTGGCCCTGTAAAACATGCTGATAAAGAACTGCTAGGGATGGGCAAGTTTGCTTTGTTATAATAAATGCAATTTCTTCTATTCAATTGGTTAGCTTTACAATATGTTTTAAACACAGTGGGAATGAAAATCACTTAAGTTTCTATAAGTGACAATTAATTATAAGCATGTTCTCTATATGCGCATTTCACTGTACTGCTTAATAATGAAGTTTTCAGGATAATGATTCTGTTTCATGGGATGTACCTGTTTGTGTGAAACTCTGGCGGTAGCATCCCCTATAGACAACTGTATGTACAGCTTAGGCATCTTATAGTCATCCACGTTATACAGAATCACCTTGGCCTCCGCAGTAAATGGAGTCAGCACTAGAAAACAAAGAGGAGAAAAGAAAATACATGTACAACAGAAGTGTGGGACAATATTAATATGGTATGCCTTCAGTAAAACTTTGATAATATTTATACAGTGGGACAAAGAGAAACCCAAGAGATATCCAAAAATATAAGATATAAAGTTATTAAGTTTAATGGTTATTTGTTCATTGTTTAACGTCCCTCTGTTAGTTATCTCATATGGAGACGCCACCACTCGCTGGTGGAGGGCTGCAAATTTTGTCCTATAATAGGCACTTAGCAGGGGGCGATCTTTTTCAGGTCAGCACCTACTGCCACATGGGACCTCTGTTTATTCAGTTTTATCCAAAAGGCTGGTTTGCATGTCTCACAATGGGATTCAAACCCGCGACATATACATGTAGCAGATGCATGTACTTTAACCACTTTGCCATGTGGGCTACTTTTACTTTAAAATATATAGTTCAAAATATATAACGAATCAAAAGTGTCATTTTTTGACATGGAATTTGAGATATCAATATGTGATACTGCAAACCAACATTTATTTGCATGGTATTGCTAGAAATAACTGTAACTCCTTTAAGAATTTCTTGGCATTGATATCATATATTTAACCAATAATCATTAAGAATATGGAATTACCTGAGGAAAATTTATCTTTTGAAATCATCTTGGACCTGATGGACTGCTTCAATAGACTCTGTAGATAAAAAATAACAACAAATTGTGTATTAAAATTGCTATTAAACATTTGGTATTGTATACAATATGATCTACTGCTTTAAGATTTTTCAAAAAAAAAACACAGAAAAAAACATTTCACTTTCTGCCCTGTAAGTCTTGAAACACATACCTTCCAATCTCCTGACGGAACAAGATGTTTGCCTCCCACGAGATCACTACTGCTGACCCGTGAATTCCAATACAGAGAGAAATCGGACACTTTACCCAGCTGTAAAACAACAAAAGTCATTATTTACTCCAGCAACTTACAACTTATATATTCTGAAGTACAACTGTCTTATTAGAAAACTTGTCTTAATTCAAGTGTATTTGACATCAAATGAAACTAAGATTTGGCTATTCTTAGACAGATGTCACATTCATGCTGGTTCAATCTTGAGCAAACACATGATGGTGCCACTACGAGATGCATATGTTCAATATTTTTGTTTATATTACTGGTAAATAACCTTATATGTCAAACCTTACATCTAAACAGGGTCAATTTTTAGCTCACCTGAGCCGAAGGCTCAAGTGAGCTTCTCTGATCACATTTTGTCCGGCGTCCGTCTGTCTGTCTGTCTGTCTGTCCGTCTGTCTGTCCGTAAACTTTTCACATTTTTGACTTCTTCTCAAGAACCACTGGGCCAATTTCAACCAAACTTGCCACAAAGCATCCTTGGGTGAAGGGGATTCAAGTTTGTTCAAATGAAGGGCCATGCCCTTTTCCAAGGGGAGATAATTATGAATTAGTGAAAAATTATTGGCATTTAAAAAAAATCTTCTCCTCAAGAACCAATGGGCCAGGAAAGATGAAACTCATGTGGAATCATCCTCAGGTAGTGTAGATTCAAGTTTGTTCAAATCTACCCGGTAGGAAAATTCTTGAAAAATCTTCTTCTCAAGAAATACAAAGCCATGATTGGTCATATTTATATGGAAGCATCCTCAGGTAGTGTAGATTCAAGTTTGTTCAAATCATGACCACCAGGGGTAGGGCGGGGCCACAATGGCCGACCAAAGTTTTACATAGAAAGATATAGAAAAATTCTTTAAAAATCATCTTCTCAAGAATAGTAAAGCCATGATTGGTCATGGGACTTCTTTTGGATTAAAACTTTTCAATAATAAACCAATTTTCTACTTTTTCCTAGCCACAGTGCTCAGGTGAGCGATGTGGCCCATGGGCCTCTTGTTTTTTTAGGATTTTAGGATCCTAGCTATCAACCTTGCCTATGAATTTCACAATACCTGGCAACCTTATTTAGGATTTTTACAGTAACAATCTTGTCTTGGTTTTTACAATAACAATCTTGTGTTGATTTTTCCGTTACATACTGTAGGCAGGGATATTTTCGCCTCAATTTATTTTCACCTTTTCACACTTGCAGGCAATTTCGCCCTGTTTTAAATTCACCCTAATGAAGAATGGATGAAACAGGCAAAAATAAAATGGGTCTGAGTGAAAATTTCCCTGTATACAGTAGTGACCTTGTGCAGTATTTTTACTATACACATAATGTTACCTTGTGTAGGATTTTTGCCGTGCTGTCTAGCTCCACCTCCTCCCATCTGTCGTTTGTCGTAAATACGTAAAGTCCTCCCAGAATTCCCCCCGCAGCGAACGGAGTGCCGGGGTTTGACACTGTATCCTCGTATCTAATGTGTACATTACTTATTTTTATCTGAAAGAGAGAAATTTTGTGTAAAAATGTCATGAATAATAGACGACTTTCACATTTACAAAAGTTATTCCCCTTTGCAGGGTCAATCCGGGGTCAACCGGCGTAAGACACTGTTTTCCCTCTAAAACCTTACAAACTTTATGGGTCAGTATCTCAGAAATTAAATCAGTATAAATATGTTCAATAAGTTTTTCATGTTGACCCATATTCTGGCAATACAGATACAGATCGAAATTTTCCAATAACGTTTGAAGATTAAAAATATTACTGTCAGTTCAGACAGTGACTTGCACTACACAAGTTATTTCACTTTGTTATTACATTTCTCTGCATGTCAGAACTATATATCCCACAACAGACAACATGTTCTTGATGAAAACATTTTAGTATCATTTTTGCAGAAAAATTCTTAACAATAATCATACTCAATCTGTGTACCACATTATAACTATAAATCTTGCAGACAGTGACAATGCAGAATTATAACCAAAAATTATTTTTGACAGTCACTGCTTTCTTTAATAAGTGTACATACCTGAATGTTGTTCAGAATGTACTTTCCAATCTTTTCAAACAGACCAGGGTGTTTCTCTGCTTCCTTAGCTGCAAATAAAATATGGAATTTTATTTGATAAATTCTTACATAAAGTTAACAAAATCTAGCTCAATGACATTTCATACTTTCATGTGACATTTTTCTGAGTACTACTCAGACTCAGGAACCCGTACCGGGAGCAATGCCAGTTTGAGAAACAGTTGACTACTCTCAGACTGATGATGGTTGAAAAATGATACTAACAGACTTAAGGTAAAATCTATAGTGCTCTGGGCATAACCTGTTTGAGTGAACGATTCAATGTGATACTCAAAGACTTCCTTTAGAACTCAAGGATCCATTGCCTTGAGCATGGCCTGTTCGAGTTAACTGAGCGATACTCACGGACTTTCTGTAGGACTGGGGGATCCAGTGCCTTGAGCATGGCCTGTTTGAGTTAACTGAGTGATACTCACAGACTTTCTGTAGGACTGGGGGATCCAATGACTTTAGCATGGCCTGTTTGAGTTAACTGAGCGATACTCACAGACTTTCTGTAGGACTGAGGGATCCAGTAACTTAAGCATGGCCTGTTTTGAGTTAACTGAGCGATACTCACAGACTTCCTGAAGGACTGAGGGATCCAGTGACTTGAGCATGGCCTGTTTGAGTGATACTCACAGACTTTCTGTAGGACTGAGGGATCCAGTGACTTAAGCATGGCCTGTTTGAGTTAACTGAGCAATACTCACAGACTTTCTGAAGGACTGAGGGATCCAGTGACTTGAGCATGGCCTGTTTGATTAACTGAGTGATACTCACAGACTTTCTGAAGGACTGAAGGATCCAGAGACTTGAGCATGGCCTGTTTGATTAACTGAGTGATACTCACAGACTTTCTGAAGGACTGAAGGATCCAGAGAATTGAGCATGGCCTGTTTGATTAACTGAGTGATACTCACAGACTTTCTGAAGGACTGAAGGATCCAGAGACTTGAGCATGGCCTGTTTGATTAACTGAGTGATACTCACAGACTTTCTGAAGGACTGAAGGATCCAGAGAATTGAGCATGGCCTGTTTGATTAACTGAGTGATACTCACAGACTTTCTGAAGGACTGGAGGATCCAGAGACTTGAGCATGACCTGTTTGATTAACTGAGTGATACTCACAGATTCTGAGTGATACTCACAGACTTTCTGTAGGACTGAGGGATCCAGTGACTTGAGCATGGCCTGTTTGAGTGATACTCACAGACTTTCTGTAGGACTGAGGGATCCAGTGACTTGAGCATGGCCTGTTTGAGTGATACTCACAGACTTTCTGTAGGACTGAGGGATCCAGTGACTTGAGCATGGCCTGTTTGAGTTAACTGAGTGATACTCACAGACTTTCTGTAGGACTGAGGGATCCAGTGCCTTGAGCATGGCCTGTTTGAGTTAACTGAGCGATACTCACAGACTTTCTGTAGGACTGAAGGATCCAGAGAATTGAGCATGGCCTGTTTGATTAACTGAGTGATACTCACAGACTTTCTATAGGACTGAAGGATCCAGAGAATTGAGCATGGCCTGTTCGATTAACTGAGTGATACTCACAGACTTTCTGAAGGACTGAAGGATCCAGAGAATTGAGCATGGCCTGTTTGATTAACTGAGTGATACTCACAGACTTTCTGTAGGACTGAAGGATCCAGAGAATTGAGCATGGCCTGTTTGATTAACTGAGTGATACTCACAGACTTTCTGAAGGACTGAAGGATCCAGAGAATTTAGCATGGCCTGTTTGAGTGATACTCACAGACTTTCTGTAGGACTGAGGGATCCAGTGACTTGAGCATGGCCTGTTTGAGTGATACTCACAGACTTTCTGTAGGACTGAGGGATCCAGTGACTTGAGCATGGCCTGTTTGAGTTTCTGCTCCATCTCCTCTACTCTCTGTTTGTTGTAGGAGTCCATGGTAACCGGACTCAGTAGAATGTAAAGTCCATCCAACTCCAGGCGGACCTCCGTCCCTCCAAACAAAATCCCCCATGGTATGGACAGACGAATGTAGTCTGTTATAATTGTAATAATATTTAGTGGGGTTTTTTAACAGAATTTTTACTTAATTTGTGAGTAACAAAAATATACAGCCATCAATACTTATCATAAAGCATTTACCTAAGTGTCCTACTTTCACCTCAAATGCTTGTTCCTTGCCAAACTAAAAAGAAAAATTTAATAAATTTATTTATTTTCATCAATTCATTACAGCCTTGAGCATATAAACATAACAAGTACTTTAATAGTATACTTTAAACAAGAGGCCCAGGGGCCACAGCGCTCACCTGAGCACATCAGCTAGGAAAAAACACATCAGATCAGAACTGAAAGTTAATTTAAGTTGGGGGGGGGCTTGAATTTTAACCCCCAAGGGGATCATAATTTGAACGAACTAGAATCTACATTACCTGAGGATGATTCCATACAAATATTACTAATCCTGGCTTTGAAGTACTTGAAAAGAAGATTTTTAAAGATTTTTCCTATATATTCCTATGTAAAACTTTGATCGGCCATTTTGGCCCCGCCCTACCCCCGGGGGTCATGACTTGAACAAACTTTAATCTACACTACCTGAGGATGATTCCACATGAGTTTCATCTTTCCTGGCCCAGTGGTTCTTGAGAAGAAGATTTTTAATGATTTTTCCTATATATTCCTATGTAAAACTTTGATCAGCCATTTTGGCCCCGCCCTACCCCCGGGGGTCATGAATTGAACAAACTTGAATCTACACTACCTGAGGATGATACCACATAAGTTTCATTTTTCCTGGCCCAGTGGTTCTTGAGAAGAAGATTTATAAAGATTTTTCCTATATATTCCTATGTAAAACTTTGATCGGCCATTTTGGCCCCGCCCTACCCCCGGGGGTCATGACTTGAACAAACTTGAATCTACACTACCTGAAGATGATTCCACATGAGTTTCATCTTTCCTGGCCCAGTGGTTCTTGAGAAGAAGATTTATAAAGATTTGTTCTATATATTCCTATGTAAAACTTTGATCGGCCATTTTGGCCCCGCCCTACCCCCGGGGGTCATGACTTGAACAAACTTGAATCTACACTACCTGAGGATGATTCCACATGAGTTTCATCTTTCCTGGCCCAGTGGTTCTTGAGAAGAAGATTTTTAATGATTTTTCCTATATATTCCTATGTAAAACTTTGATCGGCCATTTTGGCCCCGCCCTACCCCCGGGGGTCATGACTTGAACAAACTTGAATCTACACTACCTCAGGATGATACCACATAAGTTTCATTTTTCCTGGCCCAGTGGTTCTTGAGAAGAAGATTTATAAAGATTTTTCCTATATATTCCTATGTAAAACTTTGATCGGCCATTTTGGCCCCGCCCTACCCCCGGGGGTCATGACTTGAACAAACTTGAATCTACACTACCTGAAGATGATTCCACATGAGTTTCATCTTTCCTGGCCCAGTGGTTCTTGAGAAGAAGATTTTTAAAGATTTGTTCTATATATTCCTATGTAAAACTTTGATCGGCCATTTTGGCCCCGCCCTACCCCCGGGGGTCATGACTTGAACAAACTTGAATCTACACTACCTGAGGATGATTCCACATGAGTTTCATCTTTCCTGGCCCAGTGGTTCTTGAGGAGAAGATTTTTTAAAAATGCCAATAATTTTTCTCTAAATCATGATTATCTCCCCTTGGAAAAGGGCGTGGCCCTTCATTTGAACAAACTTGAATCCCCTTCACCCAAGGATACTTTGTGCCAAGTTTAATTGAAATTGGCCCAGTGGTTCTTGAGAAGAAGATGAAAATGTGAAAAGTTTACGACAACGACAACGCCGACAACGACGACGACGACGACGACAACGCCGACAACGACAACGACAGACAACGGACAAATTGTGATCAGAAAAGCTCACTTGAGCCTTTGGCTCAGGTGAGCTAAAAAAAGATAAATGTAGCTAGTTTAATTGCCATTTAAATATGAACTTTTTTGTAACATTTTCCTGGCACGTAAACGGTAAAGTATCCAAATTAACAGTCAAAAAAACCTGGAAAGCATCAGATATTTTGGATAGCTGGTCTTTTGGAGTGTCCTTTGGACATAATCAAGAATCAAAATTTCATAATCTTTTTTTTTTATTAAGGTTCATAAACCCTCTGCTCACTCATATGAAATTTTTCTTCATCTCTTACGATTTTCGAAAGGAAATCTATATGCTGAATGAAATACAAACAATTATAGCATGGCTTGCGGGGCAAAATTTGACAAAAAAGGCACTTAAACTTGACAAATTTATAAAGGAATAATAGACATTTGTGTCATTAAGGGTTATCTCTCTTACCAGAGTATCACTGTACCTTTAGTCATGGTACATCAAATCTTATTTTTATTTATACCTGTAATGTTAGGAAGTCCGTCTAAAATGTAAGAAAATAAAATTTAATCAAACAAAATTCATGAAATCTGTAAGCTAAATGTTCTTATATGGTGTTTTGATGAAAAAATAGCATTTTAGATATAATATTTTACAGTTAACTTTTTGATTGAACATTTCATTTGGCTGACTGAAATTCTTTTTATAAGCAAAATGATTGACATATCATTATTATGGTTGTTACTTTAAAGTCAATGCATGCAGAAAAATGAATTATAACCCATATAGGATGACCATGGTGAAATCAAAATCGAACAATTTAAATGAATTTTATGTACAAATGTCATAGAAATGTAAGATGTAAATGACATATTTTTTCAATACTTACCACTGCTCTTGGTTTCGGAACCAAATCTTTGAGTTCAACATTACCTTAAAGAAAAAATATTTATTTTTTATTAAGCATGCACATTTTTGGCATTTAAATTTCTTCACAAATATTTACATGATTTAATTTACCAAAATTTATGTTCAGATTTTTAATAATTAAATAGTACATACTACATTTAATCTTTCTTTTCAAAGCAAAACAATTGTTACATAAAGGGTTATGAGATGGTAATTTATGAAATTTAATATCTTTCAGTGTTTTCCCTAAGACCCGGCTACCAGCCAAATTGACTGCTTCAATTGACAAAAATGCTGCTTTGAAATAAAAAATTGTAACAAGGTCCACAGAGATTCTGTTCATAAATTTCAGTCCCTAGCCTGTTACAACTGATCTCTTACCCTCTACTTTGAAATAAAGGGAAAACACTGTCTTTCAGAGAATCTTGGATCCACCTCAGAGTCTGTACATATAACTTACCCCCTAAGACACTGTATTTCAGAGAATCTTGGATCCACCTCAGAGTCTGTGCATATAACTTACCCCCTAAGACACTGTATTTCAGGTTATCATGATTGATGTTCTCCACAAACTCGCCAATATACTCGTTAATTAAATTGACCAGTCGATCCTTAATCATGGCACTCTGCTAAGATACACAATTTCTCCTGACTGAAACATATATTAAAAGCCATGATCATAACATACTTCAGGTATAGTATAGTATGTATGTGAAATAACAACCATTTCTATTTTTGACTTTGATCTTTACACAAAACCTTCATATCTGCACATTTCAATTTTCTGTGAACTTTACTTTCACTTATGTGTAGGTCAAATTGAATTTTTTTTTATCTAAATTGTTGCCCATGTAAAATTACAATTAGTACGAACAAGTACCATACGCGACACAGGGGGAAACAGCTATAAGCAATGTAATGTAACATAAGAAAGTAAAGATGCTGACAATTGATAAAATCGATCGACTTACAAATGTAACCTATCATCAATAATATATACTTTTATCAATTATCTTCATCAGTAAAGAGGATCAATATTAAATTCTAGTAAAATCATTAAAGTTGGAACACTGCCATTTCTCTACAGTAAGAAAATCAACTAACTTTCAATTACCATAGTCAAAATAATCTTTTTTTAAATGTACACCATCAACTTGAGTCATACCAAAGGGGAAAAATAAATTCTACAGAAACAAAATAATAATAATTAACAGCTGTTATCATTATAAGCCATGAGTTTTAGAAATAGGAAGGACGACAAAACCAACAGCTTAGCTTGCAATGAAGAAGTGCTGTGTAATTTCATTAATCTTTATGTCACTAGAAATAATTTGTTAGGTTCTCCTACAGTTCAGTTTCAATATGAATTTTTGACAAATGAAGGCTAACCTGACAGTTAAGTCTTTCCTGTACATGTATATACTATATATGAAGTCCGGACAGTCAAAAAAAAAACTGATAACAGTGCTCTATAAATTAATATAGGGGCTGATGTCAATTTTCATATCAATTGGAACTTGTGCACTATGAAAACTCTTTAGAATATTAATTATGCAATCAGCAAAGATAATCAGATTTTTTTATCATAATTTGGCAAGTGTACAAATATACCATGGTTATTATTTCTTACTTTCACTTTACACACATCACAGGAAAAATCAATTAGGGTGCAATAATTTCATCGCTTTTACATTATCTATCTACAGAAAAGTATAACATACATTTCTTTTTAGTTGTCATGAATTATAATTTATGCATTCTTGGTGGATCGCCAGCATTTGCAATATTGGCTAGCAACAAACCCCTAAAACGTCGTCTGTTGCAAGAACGACAAATGCAGAAAAATTGTCAGCGATGCATAGAATCGTCTTCTGCAATAAAATCTGAAAGTACAACAAAAAGAGACCTGTCAGCAAAACACACATTCTCTCCGTCCAAGGAACAGCTGCAGTCATCTTCAGTTTATATAAAAATCAATGAGAAAATCTGATCGACTGCCGAAGTCAATTTTCAAACAAATTGTACCTGGAATTAGTCGTTCTGTAAAATTGACCCGGTAGATTTGACAAGTCGTACAATATATCAAACTAGATTTTCACTCAAATCATTATTATACCCCCCCCCCCCCCCCCCCCCCCCCCCGCTTGAAAAGCTTGAGGGTATATATCAATAGTAATCGTTAATTCCGTCCGTCCGTCCGTCCGTCTGTCCGTCTGTCCGCCTGTCTGTCCGTCCGTCCGTCTTTTACGCTTTGGGGTACCCATCTCTTATCCGCAACTCCACTCATACCACTGACTGAAATTTGATGAAACTTTCACAGAATCTTTATTACATATTGCCATTGTGCACCTCCTATTTTACTTTTTGATCCGGCACATATTTTGGGTTTCCCGGCCACAGGAAAACATGGACTTTTTCACCATATGGGAGGCGGGGGTATCATTTAGTGAGCTCATCGCTCACAGTACCTCTAGTTTTTAAAATAATAATAACATTAATTTTTTTTAAATATCAAAAAAACAATTCGCAAGGAAAGAGTTTGCTGTTTGCTCTCACTTTTTTCAAGGGTGGATCTGGAAGGGGAGGAAGAGAGGGGGTGGGATAACTAACATTCAATATTAAGAGGCCCATGGGCTACGTATGTACATCGCTCACCTGAACATATTGGCTAGGAAAAAACTACAGATAAGTTTAGTATTTTTTAGTGAAATTTATTCTAATTGAGGATGTCTCACCCCATACATGTATCATTAATTTGTGCCCCACTCTAATTTGAACAAAAATTATTATAAATCTCACTAATCATGGATTTTAGTATTACTGAAAAGCAGATTTATAAAAAGATTTTTTTTTTTCATATTTCTGTGTAAAATTTCATTGCGGCCCCAGCCTATACCCCCGGCTGTCATGATCTGAACAATCAATCTACTTCAAGATGCATCCATGTAAATATCACCAATCACGGCTTTTCTTTTCTTGAGAAGAAGATTTTGTAAAGATTTTTCCTTTACTATAATTCCTATGTAAAACTTTGATCGGGCATTGTGGGACCGACCCTACCCTCAGTGGTCATGATTTGAACTTTGAATTTATTCTTCCTGAGGATATACAGTTAATTCGCGATAAACCGCCACCTTTTGTAATTTAGAAATCATGGCGGTATAACGAATTTGGCGATGAATTGAATTTCCCATCTTCTGGAAAACAAGAAGTAGAGTTACCGTTCTTAGAAATACCATTTAGCGTTTCTAGTCTTATTATTACATGTACATGTATATTAAATAAAAACATATTTCTGGTTGCAAATACTTCAAGTCATTTTTAATGTACAAATTCGCTAAAACAAAATTTGCAGTTATGAAATAAAGAAAAGTACATGGGTGTGCATTTAAATCTGCAGTTCTTCTATTGAAAAAAAAAATGCTGGGTCGATCGTCGTAATATTTTGCCGATAGTAAGTAAAATGAATTCTTGAATAAATTTATTGTTTATGGCAACATTGTTAATTAAACATTCACAATTCATACCGTAGTATTATTTTTTTCAGCAAACTTTGCAATGTTTAAAGCAGAGATCATCTAAATTATATAGTTATCGGCGTACTTTAACAACGACCGCTTTCGTGGCGAAGCCGTGACTAAATGATTATTAAACAGAAAACAAAATTATTATAACAGTCCATGTTAAAATCTCTGTTTATTTAGTTCTTGTTTAATTACTTAATTGCATGTACCTTGTCTGCCTTTGCATGCTTTACAACAGGGATAGTGTCAACCAATTAGCCGCGCTTCACTGACCACGCGCACCTGTGGCGGTTTATCGAGATAATTGACACTTAAAAATGGACGTTTGTTGTGAAAACAGGGTGGCGGATGGCGGTATGCGAATTTGGCGTTATAAAGAGAATTTTATATAGCAGGAAAAACGTTCTTGGGAAATCATGGCGGTATTGCGAAAATGGCGATGAATCGAATGGCGATAATTCGAGAATTGACTGTATATATCTATCTACCACTTGAGTTTCATCTTTCCTGGCCAAGTGGTTCTTGAGAAGCTGATTTTTAAAAGATGCCATCAATGTTTTGACTAATTCATAATTATCTCCTCTTGGAAGACAACATGTAACCCTTCATTTGAAGAAACTTGAATCCCCTTCTTCCAAGGTTACTTTGTGTCAGTCACATTTGGTTGAAATATATTGGTCCAGTGGTTCTTGAGAAGAAAATGGAAACGTGAAAAGTTTACGACGAAGACAACAACGACAACGAGAGAAAACGGTCAAAATTTTTATCAGAAAAGTCTACTTGAGCCTTCGGCTCAAGTGACCTTAGAGCCCCCCTTTTCTCTGAAAATATGATCCCTTTAAAAACGATACGGAGTATTACATGTATATTATATATCAATGTACATGTATTATCTATTAAAAGAAAATCGGCTATCATAGGAAAGTGTTGTTGTCTCCACCCCATCCCCACCCCAACCCCCAATCCCTCACAAACAAACCCTCGATCACACACAGGAAAAAAAGACGGGTTTCCGTTTTTAGGATAGTTGCTTGTTTATTCATTTATTTGATTTTTTTCAAAAAAGATTTTCATTTCATTCAATTTATTTGTTAAACAATAAAAGTTTTGAGCAATTTATAATTAGTTTTCTTACTGTATTTCAATATACATGTATTCAGACTATACACATAAGAAAGATCAGAGACTGATACATGCCGGTATTTGTTCGAAATTATTCATCCAGTCATTGTATAAGACCTGTTTGAAAAATTAAAAGTTCATGCGTTTTAAAACTTATTTCAATCAGTAAAGAAAAGTTCAATAATGAAGTCAAATACATGTAGTCAATATGTGACCAAAACAAATGCCTGTATTTAAATTCTCCAGACTTTTTTTTTTTGGGGGGGGGGGGGGGTAATGTTAAAATGTTGCGTCTGATTATAAGTTTTGGAAACAACTTGAGAAACGCAAAATCTGCGGTCCAAGAAAGGTAAAAAATACAGTACATAAGTATCCATTCACGTCATTAACCGTCGGGTGGCGCTGCGGTTTTAGAGGTGGTTACGCAAACGTTTGAATTTGTCAAGCGCTTGACTGAGTGTAAACAAATGGTTGCGTGGCGAGACACTGTGGTTTCTCCTGGACGTATACCTCCAAATTAATTAATTTGTAAAGAATGTCAACCCTCTGTGGTGTGCCAGGATGTTGTAGAGGATGCGGACACTCATTATTTTCAGATCCAGACATTTGTTTGAGACGAAAAGTGACGCTAAATCGGTCATGAAGATGATCATCTGACTTGGTAAACACGTACTCCTACAAGTAAGAGCCTCGGTTAACGTCCCTACGCTCCTTATATACCTCGGACTCTTACATTTCTAACGAGCTCGTTCCGCCTGAGATTTTGGGCGGAACGTATTATGCGTGAAATAAACTGTTAACAAGTAATTTTCAGGTACCTACGTGTTAGCATGGGGTATGAAAGTCGCAAGAAATAATAAAATCCATTTTATTCATTGTGCATTATTGTTAATTAATGGAAATTGTCAATATTCCAATTTGTCACCAGAAGTACTTTCGATTTGACTTCATATTAATTTTGCGGATTGTTTGTCAGAAAACGAAATTTTCGTTGCATTACACTAGTTTCGTTTCGTCAGATTTTCTGTATTCCATATCCGAATTTTGAACAGACAACTCGTTTCAATTTCTGCTTCGATTTGAAAAATAATGGATTTATTGCTAATACGAGAGGTTAACAGTGTTTTATGCGTAAGTTTTATCGTAAATATTGAGTATTTTATTATTTCGTACCATTCGTAAATATACAAAGACTTATTTCTTAATAAAACAATTTTTTCCACTTGGGGTTTCAGCGGCGAGAATTTTTACAATGGATGCTAGAGGTTACGCGGCGCCAAGTCAAAAGTATCTCGCCGTGAACCTCTAGCATGCTGGAGTAGGTAAACACGATGTCGCTTGTCACCAGAATTTTGGAGTCGGCGATATTAAGGATTAGATTTTTGGTAAAATATTGATTTTGATTAATTTTAATTAGTATTTTACGAAGTATATGTCATTAAATCGTATAGATTTAACTATAAAAATGAGTTACTATATATAGTATTAAACATATTGACTTTGTGACTTTTTAACTTTTTCTTAAATGGAAAAAAGTGAACTCCCTTTTTATTTTTTTTTTTCATCAAAGGACATTTGAACTATTTATATTAATAGTGTCTTAATAGCTTGACACATGGCAATTAATATTATTTAAAATATTATTTCAAAAGTTTGAAATTTAATTAAAATGTCTAAAGCTTTTGTTGCTTTGTGATTTTGTTGTTAAACAGACAGACACAGCACTGGTAAATGTAATAGGATTAATTCTGATTAATTTAATGTACAGTGGCAGTTTTCTTTTAAAAATGTACAAATAGAGTGTATGATGTGTTTATGTCCCCATACAATTAACTTGATTTGTTAGCAAATGGAATAAGTACTGCAATTTATGATTTTAGTTCAATGTTTAATTTTATTATATATTTTAAATTTCAACACCAGAAATAATGAGATATTTTTCCCCGCTTGATTAGTACGAGTAGGGTCTTTGGTTTTCCCTGGATAAATATTGATTATATAATATTCTACTTTAACTCAATACAATAACAAAACAAAAATAATATTTGCACAGTTCCTTGTTTACAGGAGACAAGAGTAGACTAAAAAAGGATGCAGTAAACTTGACATCCAGTTTTGGACTTTAAAACTCCAGCAATACAAGTCCAACAGCTCCGTGGCTGCAGTCAAGACACGAAGTATGTACAAAGACTGAGCTGTTCCTCAAGAGTTGTGAACTAAAGTGTGCATCATGGAGTTTAGACCAGTATCCCCAGTGATAACTAGCAGTCACTCGGATGTTTCTTTAAGATCAGCCATATTCTTTAACAAAGATATGAAAAATTCAATGCAAGCATTTAAGCTGTTGAAGACTCTGTCCGAATGATTCTTTCTCATATTGGTACATATTGTAGAAGCTATTAGCATGATTAGGCTATTAAGTGAGATGTGCTTAGAAGATGTTCAACTATTACTTTTTAAATTTCAGAACACAAGTATATAGTTTTAAGAATTTTTGACACATTTAATTTTTAGAAAAATTAAAAAAAATCTTTTTGCTTGCTTTGAAAAAGAATTAAAAATGATTGTACATGTATTATGAATTCTGTGGAATCTTTTTAATCAAGTTAATTTGTGGGGTTCAATGTTCATGGACAAGAAAAATTGTTCATGGGTATGTAATTTTGTGGATTTTAACTAATTGATAATGTAGATTCAATCAATATGTTAACAAAATCCATGGGCAAGAGAGACTCGTCAAATCCACAAGCATTGATTTCCAAGAATATTGTACTTGCATGCTCAAATTTAAGTACGAAAGGAATAAATATGTATAAATATTTAATACAATCTTTTTTGTTTTATTTATTTACAGCCATGAATAAAATAAGCAAAATCGTTAACAGAAAAAAGTTCAAGCTTTGGAAAAATACTGTACATGTACATAACTTGGTGTTTTCAAAATTTAGCGCAATCAATGGATATGGTTGTTGGCATAATCTTGAATTAATGCTACAAATATTTGTGTCGTATATTCTATTTATAAATGAATTTTTAGTGGTATTTATGAATTAGCACATCCTCGTCTGCTCAAAAACAACTAAAATATGAAGCTCGCTATTTTAAGTACACATACAGTAAATTCCTTTCAATGTCAATTTTTGTACAAACAAATATTAAAATGTTATGTCTGTGCATTCTTTCATTTCACAAATTAATTTCTCTTGCCAGGGATTGTTTGAGTACATCAGCTTCTTTTCTCTTTCAGTTTTTGGTGGAATCCCTTCAAATAAGAATGAGTAGCAATTGGTATAGAGTAATTAGCATTATCATGACTGCACTTGTTTTTTGGTAAATTAAACTGTCTTTAAATATTTTTAATTTTTTAAATAAAATTGATCTACTTCTCAAATTAAAATACAATTCTTAATCAATCCTTAATTGTAAGTTTGTGAAAAGCCTGAAGATGCTGCATACAAGATTATTGTACCGGTATTCTATTAGAGAATTTTCCAAGCATGAGCATACCTAGTCTATGTGTGTACAGGCTGAATGTTGCCCCATATTTCCAGCAGAACATTTTCTCTGTGAATGTATAGGACTGCCAAACATCTCAACACTTTGTCTTAGGTTGTAATACACCTAGTGATAATAAAAGGAAATGCATTTTTTTTAAGAATTAAAATTGGAAGCATTGAAGCATTGCTTAGGCCAAAATAAAATTATAGTTTGTTTGGAATTGCCTCCCGTCTCATTGAAATGCCCCCTCCTGAAAAAATTTTATTGACCAAAAGTAGGAAGATTTTTTTATATTTAATCAATTTTTTTTTTTGCCCATTACATGTATCACATGCACCATACAAAACACTGATATATAGTGTCTGATCTATGTAAAATTAGGTTTTCAATTTAAAAAAAAGTAATTTTCCTCCCTCCCTCCTGTGTCTGAAACCCTTCAGGTGGCAATTCCAAACAAACAATTTTTTAAGGATGGCCTAGCTTAGGTGTAATTTATGAGTACTTTCTATTATTAAAAAAAATACAAATGCAATTACATACCAGTTCATCTTTTTCCCTGACAGCACTGACAATAGGATGGATGCCATTTCATGAACTACAGTGGACAGCACTCCGGATATCTGAATCACCAGTTAAACAAGACAAAGTAACATTTAAAAATTTCGTTCCAATGAAAAATTGTCCGGATACTGAAGCATCCGGATATCTGGCGTCCGGATATCTGAAGGTCCACTGTAGATGGGGAAAAATAGAATTTTTATGTAACATGTACCATCCAGCCATAATAAAGCTCCCTGTAAGCTTTGACTTCTTATTTTACCTGCTGATCTCCTAAATAAAATGAAATGAAAAAAATATATTCTTAAATAACTGAAAAATAACCAATTTACTCAGTATAGGCTTTTATTTAGGAACAAATATACAGTCAGCCTTTAAGCGAGGTCAATCCATAGTCCTGATAATAAATTCTTTTTTTTCAGAGGACTGTAAAATTAATTATGTTTTTTGTATTTAGTTGTACAATAACAGCTACTACATGTATATATTCCTTTTATTTATTTTTACATGCAGCAGGTTTTATTTAATTACTGAGTTTATCTTTCCGACTTAATGAAATTGTAAATGTAAACTAAGTTGTCGAGGGTCACATTATAGAAACACAAATACCGGTACTGTACAAAATGGACCTAGCAAATGATAACTTTAAAATATTTGTACTCATTTTTACCTTTATTATAACAAAGATGTAATGCTCTAAGTATACAAGTAGCTACTGACTATGAAAAAAATATGTACAGAACAAATAAATTTCACAATTATTCATATGCACTATATAGTACAAGGGCACATATCAAATCTATGTTTGTTTGTTGTCTAATTTCCCTCTTAAGAATTTTTTACTCATACGGAGACACCATCATTTGCTGATGGCAGACTGCAAATATACCTATTCTCGGCACTCTGGGCCATTGAGCAGGGATGGATCTTTTTAGTGCGAACACTTACTGCAAAACAGGACCACGGTTTAGACGGTCTCATCTGTAGGACACGTAATGCGGTGGATTTGAACCTGCGACATTAGGTTCAGCTCTTAGCTTTGGCGACTGTAGACAAGGCAGACACTCTAACCACTGCGAAATGTGGGCGACTTACATCAAAGCGTACCAGTCTCAATTTTTTTTTTTATTTAAAAAAAACAAACAAATGAGGCTGATTGGAAATCAAGTATATTTATCCAATATCAATGAATGGTCATTTAATGTATCTCTATGTAGGATCTGGAGAGTCTTTTGGTGAGGGTTGAAATATGATGTTTGTGATTGTTTTAGTTTTGTTTATTATCATTAATTTTTTAAGTGAACTAAAATAAAATGAATGTTTAGTTTGTATTTGCCTTGCAATGAATATTACGTTGCACTTAATTACCCTGATGATCATTTGGGACGTTGCTCTTTTAACAGTATGTAACCAGTGTAGATCTACATAACCTAGCTGTGCAATGATTGTCATGTAAAAAAAAATCAAAAAACAAAAAAACCCAAAATATCGCCATGAGTATTCGTATCATATACTAATTCCATTTGAATCTAGTGTTTGTGTAAGTGGTAAAGATGATAATACATCTGACAACCTACAAAAACGTCGATTGTAAACTCACTGCTTTGTCGTTGTACTATCTTCGTCATATAGGCATGTTACACTCGATAATTCTTAGAAAGTTTCCATAAATGTATATTATTTACAAACAATAATTACCCAAGATTCGGATAAACCTTGAACTCACGGTTGTGACAGCTCGATTAAAGATCGATTCAGCCCCTCCGTTTGGCTCCAAGTTCGAGGACACGTCCAGTTTGTTTACAAGTCCAAGGTGTTACAAGCGCCGCGGTGATTAAAGCGTTTACGTAACCACCTCTAGTACACCAGCGACACCTGACGTCATAAATATGACGAATGAGTCCTATTTCTCTCTAAATCTGTTTTAATCACTATGTTTTTTAACTTCAAATGACGCTGTGTAACCTTTTTTTTACTTCAATGGAATTAGTGATATTCCACAAAGTTTTCTTCTCTGTTTTCAAAATACACCAATAATTCTCTTTATAAACTTTATTGAAACATATCATATCACTCGCTAAGTGTCATTGCTCTCACTCCTCTTTCAACTATAGACAAGCTGGACCCGTCTTACTGATATGGTATTAATATAGTTTGAGATAATGACCAAAAAGTAATAAATTTAATGGTTGTACATGTAATACAGAGTGTTAAATCTTCAAACGGGTGGCAAAAATATTTTCTATTATAGATTATGTCGAAGATTATGCCAGACTTTGAGCGAGATATGAAGGGATAGACCTGAACACTATCAGCATGGAATAAGTGTTTTAGAAATATATTAAAAGAAAGTTAAAAGGCAACATGCCAACCATTTATCATTCCCTTTTCACTTAACCGGAGGTGATAAAAGAATAAAAACACTGAATAAACCATACGTGATAGTTCGAGCAGTAGAGCCTTTTAACAATATGGTCTATGTTTGATTGATTGAATTATTGAATATTATTTAACGTCGCTCTGCAGAAATTTTCACTTGAATATGGAGACGCCACCAATTGCCGGTGGAGAGCTACAAATTTTGTCCTATGCTCGGCACTCAGGGCCATTGAGTAGGAAGGGATCTTTTTCGTGCCAGCGCCTACTTCGACACAGGACATCGGTTTATACGGTCTCATCCGAAGGACCGGTCTCCACGTCCCTTAGTGTGATTCGAAAACCATGTTAATGTACAGATGTAGTCATGTTTTCAAAAAACTGTTGGAATACCGAGAGGCAAAAAATTCTGCTCCTTTCAATTTATAGCCGACATATTTGATATTCCGGCCTATGTTGCAGAATTTCTTCAATTTTTTACGAAAATAATAAAATTCTTGCTTTGGTGTTAATCTCGATATTGAATATATTTCTAGTACATAAATGACGTTTGGTTAACTACATGTAACAAAATCTACATCCCAGTGAACTCAAAAAAAATTGTTCAACTCTATAAACAATAATGACTGACTAAGAAATAAACTGTATGACAAACCGGATGACTTCAACTTTTCTATCGTCAACCTTATATGTGTTATTTGTTTAATTGATAGTTCTGCAATCATCTGCATATGGTGTTTATGTCTCGAAAGTTATTTCTAATAATGAACATGCTAGGAGTACGATCAGTGGTTGTTATAATGACCTTGAGACTAGTATTCGTTGGTCATGTTTAAGCTGACGTGTTCCATACTATTTATAAGGCCTTTGTTTAACACAAAATTGACGACGGACTAATTAATCTACAGGGCTCATGGCGTTTCTACATAAGCCTTTGTCGACTGAATATTCATGATTGTATTTATTTTTCTAAATTACACTATATCGTTTTAGATATGAATTGGAAAGCGTTCAGAAAAACATAGCTTTAGATTAAGTGCCTAGGAAGAATAAGCATCCTTTGTTGACGTAAAATCGTAACAAACCTTTAGCATGTCACAATAACAATATAATTTCCTTATCCAAAATCTCACTGCGGGACGTGGAGACCGGTCCTCGGATGAGTACGTATATATTAACCGAAGTCCGGAGTAGCAGTAGGTGTTGGCACGAAAAAGCTTCCTCCCTAATAAGACCGTATAAACCGAGGTCCCTTGTCGCAGTAGGTGCTGGCACGAAAAAGATCCGTCACTGCTCAATGGCCCTCACTGCCGAGTATAGGACAGAAGTTGCAGTTCTCCACCGGTAAATGGTGGCGTCTCCGTATTGACTATGAGTGAAAAATTTTCGAGAGGGACGTTAAACAACATACAATCAATTAATCAATCTTTTCAAAAGTCTTTTTGTGTAGCTTTGAGAAGAAAGTTTATTTGCATGCATACTTGCTTGCTTCTTACTTTGTAAAGTATATAATATCTACATATTTACAATTAGTGAAGTGATTTTTAAATAAGATTTAAATTATGTCCTTGGATATTGGCGAACTGATTTTATGTTAAAAATAACAAAAACTTATTACATTTTTTTTAACGAATTTTCAATATACCGTATAAGAGGACATTTTATCAAGAAACAAAATTAACGATTTCTCTTTAAAATTGGTATTTTTTTAGCGAGATGTAATTTAGCGATTTTAAAATGCTCACTAAAGAAACTTTTTCAAGTAAAACACAACTAATTTTTAGCGGTATTTAATATTAGCGATCTAAGCACCAAGCTTCAAAATATTAAACTGACCTGGGTTTCTAAGGTTAGATATGCATGTAGAGATAACAAGTCCACAAAACAATACAAAATAGGAGCGGACCTCCAAAACATCAGGAGTGGGATCAGGTGCAATGGAGGGTGCTCCTTGTCATGTGAGGGGGAAAAGTTACATCCGAACGACCCACATATTTCACTTTAAAGTGCTGAGTGCTTGGCGAAGGAACGGTTTCTTCGTAACTAGGAGAAACAGAAAAAGATGACCAGACAAAACTCTCACATTTAGCAGGATTATTCTATATACTCAAGTTCAAATTCTTTGCCATTGATCTATCATTTTTTGTGTATTTTTGGCTTCAATTCAGAAAGATCGACTCTCGAGTGGAAATTGAATCAATTAAATTAATTGGCATTTATTATAACTTCAAAAGGGAACAAAACCGCTGGGTGAAACATTATAAATAATAAAGAAGCACTTTGGAATGACGCATTCATTTGGTTTTTTTAATTCTTAAAACCAATTAATGTTAATAAAAGCCTTACTAGAAATTAATATGTCATTTAGATTAGAATATGTAGGCACGCACATGTATATGTAAAAATACATTTCAACTTTAACATAGATGCATTTGTGTTTAAATACTATTTTAGAAATTGTATTTTCCTCTACAAAAATTTGAATTTTTCAATTAAATTTGTGTATGACAATTGTCATACCGTATTAGTGGAAATTTTAGCGAGACGCAAATTTAGCGATTTCTCCTTAAAAACTGGTATTTTATTTTTAGCGAGAAGTAATTTTAGCGATTTTAAAATGCTCACTAAAGAAGCTAGTACAAATAACATGCG